AAATATTTTTTATTAAAGCATCTACCAGGTCATAAACATTGTTAAAGCACTGAATCACAATGGTAAAGAAACGTAGTCCCTGTATGAATCAGGGTTCTCCAGAGATACAGAATCAATATGATACATACAGATATGTAAAAAGAGATTTATTATGAGGGATTGGTTTAAGCAATTACAGATGCCGAGAGGTCTCATGATCTGCCATCTGTAAGAGGAAGGCCCAGGAAAGCCTGTGATGTAGTTCTAGTCCAAATCCGAAGGTCAGAGAACTAAGGGAGTCAATGGAACATACATATATATGTATATCTACATTGCAATTTTTTTTATTCATCTTTCAGTGGATACTTAGGTTACTTCCATGTCTTGGTTGTTGTGAATAATGCTACAATAAACATGGGCGTGCAGACATCGCCACGCATGCTGATTTCATTTTCTTTAGATATATATCCAACAGAGGATTGCTGGGTACAAAGTACTTTTTATTTGTCATGGAGGTAATAATGAATATGTGCCAGAAATCATATGCTTGCTCTTCCATATTTTGGAGTCAGCGAAGAGTGCTGTAAGTATGGTACCTAAAATTAGGAACTGAAGAAACATCAGAGGTAGAAAGAAGTAGCTAAAGGGAAATACCTCAGAAATCAAGGTCAGGCTTTTCCTGGATGTGGCTGTAGACTCACGTCGGAAAGAACTTGGGAAGAAAGTTCCTGAGTTAGATAGCATCCACTGAAATGGAAATACACACTCTGCCAGACACCAGAAAATGAGACCCATCTGCTGGTTAACATTCCTCTGGTTAAAGACTCCCTCTTCGCAGAAGCTTTTGCACCCATTAACAGGCAATGGATTATAAAATATACAGGTTCTAGGACTAGGATATTAGTGACTTTAGGGACAATTAAAAATTATGACAATGAACTTTCCTAGGTAAAATGTGATTTTTCCTAGCTTAGTGAAAATGTGACTTTCCTTAAAGAGTTGTTTCAGAATGTTGATTCATGAAGCAAAGTGAGAGGGATAAAAAAAATCTAGCCGTCTTATTTGAACCATGAATATGCAAATTATTGGACATTTTTTCTTATTAAAAAAAGGAAGGTAGTAAAAGAAGCCAAGGTGAAATCACATGTAAAGGTCACAGGAACTTTACTGTGTGTTTGGGACTCGTTTTCATACCTCCGAGCACTCATATCACTTTCTGATGATAGTAGCCTTTGCAATGAGGGGATTCAGGTCACTGATGTGTCACAATCACCTTAGGGACCCATTGCAGTGACTACTTAGTCCTTCGTGTGGCTGGAAGGCAGGTCTGATAGTGTCCTGCCTAGTACCCACTCCCCACCTCACATCCATGCCACATATCTCTTGTCTTTTGTCTCTGGCATCACTATTGTCAGTGAGGAGTGACACAGAGGTTCCATCAGGGCCATGCATGTCCAGACACAGATTTTGGGGTCAATGAGGCTCTGGCGAGTGAGCTTTGACAAAGGGGGATGGAAACTGAAGCAACTATTCTTCTCCCCTCCTGTCTCTGGGTGGACAGTTTGGACTTGCAGTCACTTCAACTTAGAGTTTCTCTAAAACTGTCCTGCAAAGACTGCAATCAGGGTTCAACACCCCCAAGCAATACCTGTGATTGAGGGTTCCTCCCTGGGAGACTGCAGCCTGTCAGCATGGCTCAAGAGTTTGTCAACAGCAAAATCCAGCCTGGAAAGGTGGTTGTGTTCATCAAGCCCACCTGCCCCTACTGCAGAAGGACCCAGGAGATCCTCAGTGAGTTGCCCATCAAAGGAGGGCTTCTGGAATTTGTTGATATCACAGCCACCAACAACATAAATGAGTTTCAAGATTATTTGCAGCAGCTCACGGGAGCAAAGATGGTGCCTCGAGTCTTCAACGGTAAAGATTGCATAGCGGGTTGTACTGACCTCATGAACATGCAGAAGAGTGGAGAGCTGCTGACGGGGCTGAAGCAGATCAGAGCACTGCAGTAATCACAGACCCCACATTGACATACCCTCTCAAGAGCTGGATGACAACAGATGATGACTGGAGGAATTTGGGACACAAAGAGCTTTTTTCTTCATTGGCTCAGTGTTAAAAAGTGAACCAATTTGCCCTTAGCCACAGGGTCAAGAAGGTTGATGGACCATCTTAGTTTTCTTCTGGATTTATCCTTTGGATTTCAGAAGACCATTACAAGTTTTGTCCTGGGATTCACTCACTGACCCAAAAGTTGTTCTTTTTCCTTGGCACGTGTCTCTTGCTAACCATTTTCCAGGTGCTGGCATGCCTCTCCCTCCAAGCTAGTGCTTCTCAATCATGTTCATCCAGACGTCCCCCTACCCCAGGATGGATCTACAGTTGGTTTTCTGCGCCTGCCAATCTGATGAAATTATTTTGCTGCTTGACTCTGTGGAATTTGTATTATGAAATCAGTGGGTATTTTGAATGTGTTTTCCAAACTATCTGTATCTCCCCAGTCAACCCTATCCCATCCCAACTCACCTTGAGAATCACTTTTCTGTACCAGCATTCTTGACCTTGCTGTCTCACAGATCACATGGGAAATGATCAACAATCCCATGAAAGGTCTAAGGGCCCAATTTAAGAAAGTATATGGAGAGTTAAGCAAGGTTAGTCTTCACCAGGGGTCATGTGGGTCAGAGGCACAAGTTCAGAGGCTGCGACCGGGTATGGTGGCTCATGCCTGTAATCCCAGCACTTTGGGTGGCTGAGGTGGGAGGATTGCTTGAGCCCAGGTGTTCAAGACCAGCCTGGGCAACATAACAAGAACTCATCTCTACAAAAAGTAAAAACAAATACAGATGCTGCAGTCATGTGGCAACACTGTTATTTAAGATGGTTCTCTGGGTCATCCTGAACAACCATGTATGAATTTGACGTAGATTACCAGCAAAATTAAGGCATAAGATGCAAAACATTATCATAGGAAACTTGCCTTCCCAAGAATGTATCTGGGAGAGCTCCAAAACTTAAGTATCCCTTATCATGAATTTTGTCTGCTCTAGAATTGTAAAATTGTTAATTTTCTCCTTCAGTCTCTAGTGAGAATGGTTCACTTATTTTCTAATAAAGAAGTACCTATTAAGAAAAAAAAAAGACTGCAATCAACTGGTCCCAGGGTTGTGGCCAGTAGGTGATGGGTTCTTTCAACCGCTATCTACCCATCCTGGTTACATCTAGACCTACAAATACTTGACAAAGATTTACAAATGAATAAGTTTAAAACATTTCATAGATATTTGGAACATGTCACTGCAGCAGTGAAATGTATATACACGAATAGATATATTCTGAATATATGTGCCTACACATATGTATACTTATGTATATATTCAAAACTGATAGACTTTAGCTTGTCAATTCAGTTATCCTTTCTCCCTTTTGGCAAATTAAAATTTGCAAGAACTGCCATATCTGTTGATTATTGTATTGACTAATGATAATTTGGGGGTTGAGGTGGTTGTTTTTTCTATTGTAGGTCCATTTTAGTAAAACCCCTCTCAGCCAGGCGTAGCTCACGTCTGTAAACCCAGCACTTTGGGAAGCCAAGGCAGGAGGATTACCTGAGCCTAGGAGTTTGAGACCAGCTTGAACAACATGGTGAGACCTTGTCTATTAAGGAAAAAAAATTAGCTGGGTGTGATGGTGTGTACCTGTAGTTCCAGCTACTTGGAAAACTGAGGTAGAAGTCTTGCCTGAGCTCAGCAAGTAGAGGATGCAGCCCAGCATGCACTCCAGCCTGGATGACAGAGTAAGACTCTGACACAAAAACAAAACAAAACAAAAAACCACCTCTCTGGGAGGTACATTGTATCTGCTAGTAGTTGAAGCTAGGTCTGGGCTTGTGGTCCCTGCCTGTGCAGTCCACAAGACATGCTCCTCCTTCACACATGCGCCTTGTAAGTGATCAAAGTTCAGCTCTTCTTCCTGGCAGTCCTCGGCGCTAGAGTAACTGGTTCCCAAGGAGGAATGAGACTGGAGTCTGGCTGTCTGGAGCACCACTCACTCACGTTTAGTGATAAGTAAACAGAGATTTTTGCTCTTTGTTTAGAAAACTGTATTTATAAACTCCATTTTTGATTCTTTGGCTTCATCTTTTAGAATAGGACAGGATTTTACATTTGCATTAAATATAAGCCACAAGCTCAAAGACAAATCTAGTTGGATTTTATAGAGTGGAACCACAAGTATCAGGTTTATTGTAGTTCCCCTTCATTTCTCCAGAGGGGTAAACTGAGTCTTAGCGAGGATCACAGGCTTGCTTACAGCTGTCTACACAGCCACTATCAGAGCTAGGCCTGAAATCCACTCTTCCAATGACCAGTTCACAGTTTTTCAGTCACAAAGACTGTGTCTTTTGATTTTGTTTGTGTTCTAGGACATGTTAATACAATCTTGTATCTTTTCAGTTGACTCAGTATTCTGTAGTGTTAAGGGAGAATCTTTAAAAGAGAGTTTTTTTTTTTTCTTTCAACATTTTATTTTTTAATTTCTGAAATACAAATCAAAATACATTTTTGTTACATGTTATTTTGACAAGTCTGACAGTCTTTTCAATACAGGATAACTCAATATAGGTGCTTTAAAACTTCCTTTTTAAAAACCATACATTTTACTTTGGAGAGAAACAACTCATCAGAAAAATACTTACATACATGGGCTACTGTTTGTCATGATCTTAGAGCATGCCCTCCATCTTAAAATTTGGTCCACTGAAATATATACGTATTCCTCCTATCACAAAAATAAATTAAATCTCGTGGTTGAAAAAAACAAATATTTGACATAGGCCTGAGTGTACTTGAAAAACAAGTTAAGATGTGTTTCAACTGCATGGAGGAACATTCTAAAATCCACCTAGAACCATTTGGCAGAACAACTGGCCTGTTGCTATCAGGGCTCTCTTGCCTCAAATGGGGATAAAAGGTGCATGGGAAAGTACTGAAGACTTTCAACATCCACAGAATCACTTACTCAAAATTAACCAAAATTCAATATAGAATAGTACACGACAACAATAGAACAATCGCAACAGTTATTCAATGCCTGGAAAGCAAGATGTAAGCTCAGAATGACTATCTCAACAAGAACAATGGTCAACATGTTTATAAGACCTTAAAGGTGAGAAAACTGCATTATTGATAGATGATGTCTTGTGTACAAGTATATTAGTTTCCAGGACACTGGAGACAACAACAAAACATACAAAGTAAGAACACAGCCAAGCTGCTTAACCTTCCACCATTCTCTTGAGTATTAAACCCAGGCCGCCTTTGGCCACTTGCAGAGGTGTCTTTTCTTCTTTATTCTCAATGTAAATACTTGCTCCTTGGGACACCAACAGTTTTGCTTCTTCCACTCTCTCTTCATCACAGGCTAAGTGTCCTTGGCTGCTGCCCGGTGCATTGCTGTAGCCTCATAATGGTCCTTAGCATCCGGATTAGCCCCACCTTCTAGTAACATGACAGCAATCTCATGCCTATTTTTGGAAGCAGCATAATGCAGGGGAGTACAGCCGTTTTGATTGACAGCATTCACTTGAGCACCTTTTCCCAGAAGGGCTTTTACAATCTCATCCCGGCCAGCAGAAGCAGCAATATGAAGAGGAGACCAACCTGCATCGTCTTTATCATTCACTGGCACTCCAAGTTGCAACAAAAATTCAACAATTTCTGTATGTCCGGCTGAGCATGCCCAATGCAATGCAGTTCTGCTGTCCTGAGCAGTTCTAGTAGCCAGGGATTTATCTGCCAGGATCCTCTCCTTCAACTCCTCCAGCTTCCCGCTGTAGGCCAGGTTGCAGACCAATAGGTTAGACACACACCCCTCCATTTCGCTTTCCCAGGATCTCCCTAAAAGAGAGTTTAACCATGATTCTTACACTGATATAAAACAAACACATTGTCAAAGATTCTCTTTAGCTCACTAATGAATGAGGGAACCAGTAAGATGTTACAATTTGTTCAAAGGAGAATTCAAAATACCACATATATTGAGGCAGGCGAGGGATGTAGAAATGATTGTCCACATACAGTTGATCCTTGAACAACATGGGTTTGAACTGCATGGGTCTCCTTGTGTGTGGATTTTTTTCAAAAAATATTTTGGAAAATTTTTTGGAGAGTTTCAGCAACTTAAAAAACTTGCAGATGAATCACTTAAAAATATAGAAAAAAATTAAGAAAAAATGAGGTATGTCAAAAATACATAAAACATATGTAGCCATTTGTTGTATCATTTGCTACCATAAAATATACACAAATCTATTACACAAAGTTAAAATTTACCAGAACGTATGTATACAAACACAGACTGTATGTGATGACATTCCCAATTGAGAGAAATGGAAACAAACATAAAGATGCAGTATTAGGTCGGGCTCGGTGGCTTAGCCTATAATCCCAGTACTTTGGGAGGCCAAGGCTAGAGGATTGCCTGAGACCGCTGGTTTGAGATCAACCTGGGCAACTTGGCGAAACTTCATCTCTACAATACATCAAAAATTAGCTGGGCGTGGTAGCGCACGCCTGTAGTTCCAGCTACTTGGAAGGCTGAGGTGGAAGGATCCCTGGAGCCCAGCAGATCAACGCTGGGGTGGCTGTGAGCATGCCACTATACTCCACTCTGGGCAATGGGGTGAGACTCCAACTCTAAAAAATAAAAGATGCAGTATTAAATCATAACTGTGTAAATTAGCTGTGGTACACACTGTACTGCTGTGATAATTTAGTAGCCACTTCCTGCAGCTATTGCCATGAGCTCAAGTGTGAGTATCCACTTAAAGAATCATGTGCCACGGCTCATCTCCACGTGCGCATTTAGTCTCTCTAGTAATGTGCATATGGCAGTAAAAAAGCGATCTCTTGTGGTTCTCGCATATTTTTCGTCATGGTGAGTGAATACCATAAACCCTGAATAACATCTGGGACTTATAAGAAGTGCCACTAGTAATGCTGGAAGTGCTCCCAAAAAGCAGAGAGAAGTCATGACATGACACGACAAAACTGAATTCCTAGATATGTATTGTAGACTGAGGTCTGCCGCTGCAGTTGCTGCCATTTCAGACAATTTGTCTTGTAAACAAAGTAAATTTACCATGTCAGTGTATTTGCTAAACCTCTCCAGATTGGACTGGTTTCTGTATCTTTTCAAGAAGAAAAAGGGAGAAAAGAATGCCCTTGTGGCCCCAAATAAAGGAAGAAGAGAGACTCTAAGTCTGGACTGTATTTGAAGTCAGTACAGGACTGCAAATGTACTTTCTCTTCCTTATGATTTCCTTAATAACATTTTCTTTTCTCTAGCACACTTTATCGTAAGAATACAGTATGCAAAACATATCAGGAAATATACGTGTCAATTGGCTATTTTTGTTATGCATAAGACTTCTGATCAACAGCAGGCTATTAGTAGTTAAATTCTGGGAGAGTCAAAAGTTATATGTGAATTTTAGACTGCACAAGGGAGGGATCAGAGCCCCCAACACCAAGTTGTTCAACAGTCAACTGTAGATGCAAAATGGATTGCTAATCAATTGTACCCCCACCAGACTCAACAAATTTGCATCTATCTAGGCAAAAACAATTTGCTTTAGAATCAATTTTCTACTTATAGAGTTGTAAAACAGCTCAAAGATTGTTCATAGGGGCTTTCCCAGGAAGGACGCGTGGCAATTTTTTTTGTTTTCCATTTTTACCATTTCAAGATCTTACAATTTTTTTCTAGCAGTAGTAGGAACTGATAGCTATGAAATAAGAGCCCGAAGTAAGAGTTTTCCAAACAAAAGTTTCCTTGTGATTATGTTTTCTTAATATATGCACCTTATTCACTTTATCAGAAATCTGACTTTATTTTTATGTATTTGTTTTAGAGTTGTTGGGTACAAGTGAGGATTTGCTATACAAGTAGACTGCGTGCAGGTGAAGTTTGGGCTTCTAGCTGGTCCTCACTTTCCCTGGTAGTGGACCAGGTACCCATTGTGTTGTCATGTGTCCCCCTATCTTCTCTTTCCTCCCTCTTTCCCTCCCCTAGCAGTGCTGAGCGACTGCCGATCCCACCCTTGTGTTAGTGTGACTAGTGTTCAGGGCCCACTTATGAGTGAGAACATGCAACATTCATACAGGCAGCTAACAGACACATGAAAAAATGCTCAGTCTCACTAATCATCATAGAATGCAAATCAAAACTACAGTGAGATACCACCTAACTCCAGTAAGGATGGCTATTATTAATAAGTCAAAAAACAACAGGTACTGGTGCGACTGTGTAGAAAGGGGATGATTCTACACTGTTGGTGGGAATGTAAGCTAGTTTAATCTCTATGGAAAGCGGTGTGGCGATTTCTAAAAGAACTAAGAATTGATCTTCCATATGATCCAGCAATTCCTCTCCTAGGAATGTACTCGGAGGAACATAAATTGCTCTACCAAAACGACAACTGCACATGCATGTTTATTGCCGCACTATTCAAAATAGCAAAAACATGGAACCAACCCTACTGCCCATGGAAAGTGGATTGGATACAAAGTGTGGTACATATACACAATGCAGTATTATGTAGCCATAAAGAAGAACAAAATCATGGCCTTTGCAGCAGCTTGGATGCAGTTGGATAGTTTACTAAGTAAACTATCACAGAAATAGGAATCTGATTTTAAAAGTCATCCAGTTTGCAGAGAAATACTATTTAACTCCTCTCCTTTCTCCCAGTTTTTATAATAGGGTTTATAATCATGTTGAGTCCAATTAAGTGATTTTTTTAGTCTTGGTGGAATGACTTTATACTCATAGTAATGACCTAGGCTGGTTCTCCCCTCAAATGTAGCCCACCCTTAGAATCCCTCTTCTTCTGTTAGTTGGGGCCACAGGGACATTCCCTTCTCCTTTTCCTTCTCGGGCAGATACTTAAACCCAAACCTGAGAAGCTTAGCAAGGTTTCCCCTTTGCAACGAGCCTAACTCTAACCAGGTGGGTTCATTACAAATAAATCCTTCCTTATTTCTGAGCGGGTCCAAGCAACTTAGTCTAGACCTTGGTCTTGGTACTTGTGTTCATTCCTATGATGGGTCTAGTGTCTGTTCCCCTTCCATTCATGACCCTGACTTGCTGGGACTTGATGTCTCCACCCAGGGACCCAAATCTAACAAATCTCTGTGCTCTCCTTCCTCCACCCAGACCAGTGTTAACTTCTTGCCTGATGTTTGACTATTTCCCATCCCACATCAACATATGACTCCTCCAAAATCTTGCCTTACAATTCCCGAACCACATCTGGATATTTCTGCCATGGTGGTTCTTGCTGGATGGAGCATCTCTGTAAGTTCCTCCAGCATCTGCCTTGTCTTAGGGCAAAGTCCAAGGCCAAAGGCAAATCCTTTCTCCTGCACGGTCAACCATTCCTGCCAGAACCTGAGGTTGGGATTGAATCATGAGATAAAGTGGAAGGATAATTAGCAGTTCAGGATCTCATAAATGTATTGTGCTTCAGAAACAGTCATGAAAACCAAGTGGTTAAGGTGAGAATACAGTTCATTAACGTTCATTACACAGATACTTGACAAGCACCTACAATGAGCCCACACACATAGGCTTATTATCCTTAATCCTTAGAACATAGAAGTGATCTAGGATATACAAGGAATTCAAATGTGCCAAAAGGAAAAAAACCAAACAGCCCCATTAAAAAGTGGGCAAAAGACATGAATAGACACTTCTCAAAAGAAGATATACGGGCAGCCAACAGACACATGAAGAAAGTGCTCAGCCTCACTAATCATCAGAGAAATGCAAATCAAAACCACATTGAGGTATCACTTAACCCCAGTGAGAATGGCCCTCATTAATAAAACAAACAACAGATGCTGGCTAGAATGCGGAGAAAAAGGAACACTTTTACACTGCTGGTGGGAATGTAAACTAGTGCAATCTCTTTGGAAGACAGTGGCAATTTCTGAAAGAACTCGAAATTGACCTTCCATATGACCCAGAAATTCCCCTATTGGGAATATACCTCAAATCATTCTACAAAAAAGATACCTGTACATGTATGTTTGTTGCAGCTCTATTCACAATAGCAAAAACATGGAACCAACTATGCTACCCACTGAAGCCAGACTGGATTAAAAAAATGATGTGGTATATATACACAATGGAATATTATGCAGTCATGAAGAAGGACAAACATATGGACGTCACAGCAACTTGGATGGATTTAGAGTCGATCATACTCAGTGATCTATCACAGAAGCAAAGAACAGAGTACCATATGCTCTCACTCATAAGTGGACTTTTAACAATTATCATAATACTATAAGAAAAGGATTGGCAGTAGTGGGAAACTGCCAGGGGATGGGGGGTGAGATTGACTGTTGAGGGATACTGCTAGGGAAGGGAAGGGCACACCTCATCAACAAGGGTACCTACATAATCAACATTTGCATACCTAACCCTGAATTGTACCCCACATTTTAAAAATAAAAAAAATAAAAATAAAAAGAAGTGTTGGGTGTGAATTGTTTAAGTATAGCTACACACCAATACCAGCAGTGTGACCCAAGGTAAAGCTGCATCTCAGAATTCTATTTTTTAAAAAATAAGATGCATAAAATTAAAATTATTGATTTGTCTAGGTGTATTTGTAATCTGGCTAAGTATATTGTATAAACTCTGTTCATAAAAACTATTTAATCATTTTATCCCACTGGTGGAATAGCACAGTGGAAAATAACAATAGCACCAGCAGTATTAGTAATAAAACCCTGAGATGGTTCATTAGAGTCAAGCCATAGAGAGATGAAAGTCGCTCCTCCTAAGTTCTTGGAGTCTGCTGGTTTAGAATTGCCAAAGGGGGC